GGGAGTGAGGGTGAAGGATGTAGTGAGGGTGAAGGAAAGGGACACCTACAGTCCACTTCAACACCTGGCCTATGTCATACGCATCCGGAATTGGACATCAATGATAACATTCCGTTTGTAAAATCCACCCGAAAATCCCAAGTGTTAGGTAAGAAAAATGAAGACCATTGGCAGTGGGATGGGAAAGAGACATTGATCCGAATTCACAAAACGCCAAGAAGGCAAAACTTTGTACCACAGGATTGCGAAGACTGTCCTTGTGACCCTAGGATCATATGTGATGAGAGGGAAACTGAACAAAAGTTCAAAACCAATACTCGAGTGATCAAAGACATATGGAGATTCAAGGGCGACAATCATGAATCAACGAACAAGTTGAATGAATTTTGGACTGGAAAATCGACATTCAAGGTGCTCGCCAATGCTGAAGTGATCGATGGAGGTAAGAACTGTAAAGTGAGTCAGGGAGTAATCACGCTATGCACCAATTGCAATGACGTGAAAACTATTCCCATCACTGATGTTTTTGTCCCCTATCAATATCACATTGAAGTAGGCAAACATGAGGTTGACCATCCCACAGTGTCGGTAATCCTTTGGAGAGAAAAGAAAAACAGAACTTTGGAATTTCAATTTTCCAAATCACCTTGTGACTTGATGACGTCAAAGTATGCGAAGTTTTCCCTTGCAATCAATTTGATCGAAGTTCCTCAAGCAGTCCCATGCTTCGTCTTGTTATGTTCGGAAGAGAGAAACTGGTTTACGTTCTTGCAGAACAAAATGAAAGACGAAATGAAGTTTCATGTCGTGCCAATCACTGAAGATGACGACATGCTCTCTCCGTACGGAATCAGTAAAGCAAGGCGATGCCTTCGGACCAAACTTGATTCAATGTTCTTTGCAGGTCCATGTACAGGAGGTTCACCATGGAACCGAATCAACCGATGGGTGAGCGAAGCAACAACACAACTCATCGAAGCAAAGAAGCAGATCTTCTGGGCGATGTGGGAAGTGTTTGCATCAGTGCTAAGTGAACTTATCAATATGGGATCACCAGCCTTGCTTGAATTGCCTAGAGGTTGTGACTACTGGAAGGACCGTAGAATGACTGATCTTGTGGAAGGAACCGTATCTCATGAGCACAAATTTGATGGATGCATGTATGGCTTGAAATCACAGTTCCAAGAGACTCCCAAACCAATCAAGAAACCTTGGAAGATTGTTACATGGGGGGTGTCTTTTCCAAAGCTTCATAGAAGATGTGATCGCCGTCATGACCATGCAGAGTGTGCCGGTAGGGAAACTCGCATTACTCAAGTTTACACTAAATGGATAGCCAAGATAATCATGAATGGAATCAATGATCATGTAATCAGGAATAGTCAATTTGTGAACGTCAGAGTGATGAAACGTTGGAAGCCGCTTGCATGTGATGAACAACTGAAAGCTGAAATGTCTCGTGATTCCGAGAATGTCCGCAGTCACCCAATCAAGTCGGTGGCAACATCCGTTTGTGCTACTCGAGAGCTCGACGCCATTGACCATTCGTTCGAGCGATCGCTACTGCACTGGTGCTTTTCGAGATTGACATCAACTTCGGTTCTTTCATCGTGGCACTTTTCATTTTCGTGTCTACCGATAGGATCAAACGATGCCCTCAGGACATCATTTTCTACAAACGAGAGGCTTTCCTAAATCAGCTTTCGTTGGTTGTAGAAGCACTTCGTTGATATCGGCAAATGATATACATATATATATTTATACACGAAAGCGTTGACAGGGTTAGACGTACGAAAACGTTTCTAGGGTTTACAGGCCAAAACTTTCAAAAAGGAAACGGAAGAAGCTATATAGAATTTCACATCCATGAACAAAAGCTCAAATTGTTTATAATGGTTTTGCTGCATAAACCTTAGAAACGTTTTCGTGTGTTTAACCCTATCAACGCTTTCGTGTGAAAACCTCAAGGTCTTGGTGAAAATACGGTAAAAAACGCTCAAAAGAAAGCATGAAATCTTGGAGCTTGGCTTTTAACAAATTGCTTGAAGGCTTACAGTTCAAAAATGAAAGTTTTAAAGCAGAAAACGAAGCCGCTTCTAGGGGTTATGCAGCCGAAGCTGTTTTTAGGGTTTGGGGAAAACAAGCAACAAAGCCGCTTCTAGGGGCTACTTGCAAACGAAGGCGCTTTTAAGGTTTAGGGATACAGAAAACGAAGCCGCTTCTAGGGGTTATGCAGCCGAAGGTGGTTTTAGGGTTTGGGGAAAACAAACAACGAAGGCGCTTCTAGGGGCTACTTGCAAACGAAGTCGCTTTTAAGGTTTAGGGATACAGAAAACGAAGCCGCTTCTAGGGGTTATGCAGCCGAAGGTCTTTTTAGGGTTTGGGGAAAACAAACAACGAAGGCGCTTCTAGGGGCTACTTGCAAACGAAGGGGCTTTTAAGGTTTAGGGATACAGAAAACGAAGCCACTTCTAGGGGTTATGCAGCCGAAGGTGGTTTTAGGGTTTGGGGAAAACAAACAACGAAGACGTTTCTAGGGGCTACTTGAAAAACGAAGGCGCTTTTAAGGTTTGGGGATACAGAAAACGAAGCCGCTTCTAGGGGTTATGCAGCCGAAGGTCTTTTTAGGGTTTGGGGAAAACAAACAACGAAGACGCTTCTAGGGGCTACTTGCAAACGAAGGCGCTTTTAAGGTTTGGGGATACAGAAAACGAAGCCGCTTCTAGGGTTTGAGGATTACGGAAAATGAAGTTGCTTTTAGGCTACGGGTTCATAGCAAACGGATATGCTTCTATAGGGTTTGGTTTCAAACAAAGGTGCTTCCAGGAAACCGCCGTGTGGAGCATCAAGCCTCCGCTACCATGGTCTTTAGTACGCGCTAACAGCCCTTGGCTTGGGCACCTGCGGTGGGAGCACCTTGAAAGGTTCGCTACAGGCTTTGGCTATGATGCAGTTGGCATTTTGGCATTTCAGCACTATCCAGAAATTATTTCCAGAACTGGGCTTGAGCCAATGGGTGGGATCTTTCGAAGTGATCTTCCTAAAGCTTTTGGGAAACATGGTCGCATTTTTGCATATATATATATATTCACGACATGCACATAGCAATTCATCTACCTACCTATACCTGTCTGTCTGTCTGCCTGTCTCTTTATCTCTGTCTTTATCTCTCTCTTTATCTCTCTCTTTATCTATCTCTTTGTCTTTATCTCTCTCTTTATCTCTCTCTCTCTCTCTTTATCTCTCCCTCTCTCTCTTTATCTCTCTCTCTCTTTCCCTTTATCTTTCTCTCTTTCTCTCTTTCTCTCTTTCTCTCTTTCTCTCTTACTCTCTTTCTCTCTTTCTCTCTTTCTCTTTTTCTTTCCTCTTCTGTTTCTCTCTTTCTCTCTTTCTCTCTGTCTCTCTGTCTCTCTCTCTCTCTCTTTCTCTCTTTCTTTCTGTCCCTCTCTCTCTCTCTCCCTCTCTCTCTTTCTCTCTCTCTCTCTCTCTCTCTCCCCGTCTCTTTCTTTCTTTCTTGCTTGCTTTCTTGCTGTCTTGCTTTCGTGCTTTCTTTCTTTCTTTCTTTCTTTTTTTCTTTCTTTCTTTCTCTCTCTCTCTCTCTTTTTCTTTCTCTTTCTATTTCTCTTTCTCTATCTGTGAAAAGGTTTTCTTATGTGCATGTATGTGTGCACCCACTTTTCACCATCCCGGGAACCCTTGAAATATTTTTAAGGCCTGTCTGTAACACTGGGGGGCCCTAGATAATGATGTGGCAGCTGGCATCCACTCAGACAAATTGATGTGACATTCCGATATCCCAAATTATCCCAAATAACCCAACAATGGTACGGCATCGACCCAGGCACTAAAAAATGGACATATGTTTTTTTGTCATCCCTTTGGCCGGCAATGGAACCCAAACACATGATGTGGTATTGACAAACCAGTTGGCTCATGGGAAAAAAACACATTTGTTTATCTCTCAAATTTGGCGGATGAGGTGACTGAAACCCAATTTCTGGCTATACCCGTTTCATGTAGATCATAAAAATATATAGATGTGATTTTTTGAACAACAAGGTCTATCCACTTATTTCGGCAACAGGAATGGATGAAAGGGCCAAAAATCTGGCCACATGTGCACATTCCCAGTTTTGAAACCAACATACAGGAGTTAACTATATATACATGTTTCTTTACATATATGGTAAATATAAATAACATAAATCTATATATATATATATATATACGTGTGTGTAAATTATACATATGCATAGACAGACATACATACATATATATATATATGCACATAATTTGTACACAAATAGGTATATACCTACCTATCTGTCGGCTTCCCTGTCGCCCCATGGAGCTTGAGCTCCCGCTGCCGGGCACTGTGGAGCACCCGCCTTTGGATTTTTTGCCGGGACCCCAAGTCTCAACGGCTGTTGGTTCGGCGCTGGTGGAAGCGCAGAGACAAAAATAGGAAATATCTCTGCCAGAACCTTTCCCTAATCATTGTTCCTGAATGGCATTGCTTTGCAATACCTTTGATATGACCCAAGTAACTTTCATCGTAAAAACACGATGTGAGCAAGCGTGGATTGAGAAGTGTTCTCTCTGCGTCACGCCCTATGTGGTGAAGGTAATGCGTCTTTGGACGCAAGCGAAAAAGGTAGACGCCATCATTTTGACATCTAGACGCTAAGTGCTGCCAACACTGCAGGTGTAAGGTCACAAAGTAGTTCAAAGCCTGCGCGAGGGTGATGAAAAAATTGCACGCCACACAGTTACAGTTTGGGCCCACAAACACTGCACAAGGGAAACGTGTCGCGCACTGCCTTTGACTCATCGGCTCTAAGATTCTACTAGTATATATTGCGCTTGATTCTAACTGCACATTGTTTATTTCTAAGAACCATGCCTGGGCATCTCGTTTCCACATGATCATGTCATTGTGGTCCATCACAGACAAAGCTCTGGATATGCTCCAAAGGGATACTGCAATCAGTTGAAGCATCTCATCCTGAGGTCTGAGCAGGGCAATCAATAGCGCTGACCCCTTCTCTGTTCACCAAACAAAATTGAACAAAATGACAGGAAATAGCGTTTCTAAATGTTTTTTGTTGCCATCCAAACCAGGTGTCCTCTGGGTTCTCTGCGTAGATTTCACCAGCTAGCTTCGCATGAAACCAAAGCGACGTTTTGACAGATGCAGCTTTGAAACCGGACCCCAATTCAGGGAATTGATTTGCAGGGTCCAAACCAGTGTTGGATGGAGTGTACGTTTTGAAAGTCCCATGTAGACCAGCAGCTTTGCAATCTTCCTTTTGTTTTCTGGAAATTGCTCGTAGCTGTTCATGTAAATCATTTCCCAGGATATAGCCATTCCGGCACCAATATCCCAAACATGAGGCTGTGATCTCCTTTGCAGTTCCCAAGAAAATTGTATGCATAGGATCTCGGAAGCATGATTTCACATGAAAGCCAGGCATGTTTTCCCAAGGCGAATGCGTAGCTGAAGATTGAAGGTACTCAGAATGGGACAACTCTGTCATCATATGGGCCGCATTGGGATAGAAGTTCTTGAAGGTGAGTAAGGGATCTCCATCTTTGTTCGGACGTTCTGCAAAACAGCATTCACAGATCTTGTTGTGTCCATAGGTGCGGTCAAAACGGTGACATTCTTTTCGTGCTTTTGCATCGGCTTTGAAACCAAAGTAAGCAAAGTGGTATCCTGAAGCTAGAGTTTTGCCAGCTTGTTCCCCCCGGGTGCCATGCAGCACTTCACCATATGGACCTCTTTCGGGCGCCTTGCCTTTCAACGCACATCTCATCGACCATGTAGTGACTCGCGCCACTGTGGAATGCATAGCTTCTTTCACCTAAGTAGCCGGCAACGATTGCTTTGACCGTGCGATATTGGGGAACCCCATGCAGCAACCATAGGCCACTCCGTAAATGAATCTAAGTTGCCAACAGATTTTTTGTTCATCCAGGAATGTGGGACGATGCAAATTGGGAACTTGACATCCCATACCTGCAAGTGAGAAACCAAAACAGAGGCAAACCTTCTTGCAATGAGAGAGTTGTTGATAAACCTATCCTGAAATCCAGCAATATACCAGGGATAAGAAAGCACACGATTATCCAACAAATTGGATCCATAGGATTTCACAATTAGGTTTTATCTTTCATTTCTGTCTGTATTTCAGGATGGTTTATATAGAATGTTTTGGACCAACAGCCTCCCCCGTGGTAAAAACGGATTGAAGGCTCCACACATAGTGTTCCGTGTTCGCATAGAATTCCACCCCGTCTATGTGGAATGCCACAGGGATCAGTCCTAGGATGGCAAAGTTTGAAAACATGGACAACATATTGTAGCACATCAAATGTCACTATAGTTCATGAGCCACGCATATCATCAATCACTACTTGAGACAAGCTTCGGTCCCTTTGGATATATCTCAAAAATCTGGCTGGATGGTTTTCCCATTCTTCCTGTTTGAAAAGATGCTCCCAGAACTGCCGGATTTCAGGTCCAGACCGACCACCAGTGACAGAGAGGCTCCACTGCAGGCAGCTGTGGGTGCGCAGGAGTTAGAAAGTATAAGGGTTGCATGGTGGAGATTGAGCACATGTGATGTTGAAAACCCCACCTGAAGCTTTCCGACCCCAGCAAGAACATCAAACAGTTCGTGAGGGAGAAGAAATGGAATTGTCACCTTCTGTAAGCCTGGCATGTTGTCCACCTCACAGGGGATTTACAGAGCTCGTGGATACTCCATCAAACGTGTTATACTCCTTATCTATATACCGATCTATAGAAAGAGAAATATATACATATATATAATATAATATATATATGTAGAATATAATATATATATAATATAGTATATATATATGTAGAATATAATATATATATATACTATATTATACACCAAATAATATATATATATATATATACAAATAATATAATATATAACAATGATAATAAATAAATATATATATATATATTATACATAATATACAATATAATATATATATATATATTATATACAGTATAGTGTGCGATCAACTAGTTTGCAAATACAAAACTTTTGAACGGAAATTCAGAAACCAATGGTGAACTGGTTTGCTTGGAAACACCTTCGATGGAAACATGTTCAAGCCTGCATGTCGCACTGAACATCAAATGTGCTGAGATTGATGTTGTACAATTGGCGCACCCATTTGTGCAGATCCCTTTCTTGGTTTTGGGTGTGGGCCCCAAAGGACCCCAACGAAGCCAGGGCATACACAGAGCTCGGGGCTGAATCCCCCATGTCCTCAACAAATGCCCTGGATAGGTCGGCAGCTGCAGCAACCGAAGCTCTCCCAGAACCAATCATACCTTTGGACCGCCATCGACCCAGATCTTGACAGGAGGGGGGCAGATTATGGGAAATCTTGGAACACATTTTGACTTAATCACTTAATCATCATCCAAGTTTCTAAGATAGGATTCTGCGCTTTTGCTGTGGGGCATGGATTCATATCTCATTCGACGGGGCCTCAAACATTGGGTCTCTGGCATGGGCCCTGCTGAAGTGAAACCCCTTGAGACCAGCCATCACGCCTTCTTTTGGGCATGAAGAAACCCTTCGCTGCCACACCTGCGTAGGGACAGAGCCGAATCATCCAGTTGACAGCTTTAAGAGGGGAGCACTAATTTAGTCTGTTTTGTGTATTCTTTAACATTGAAAAAGCGCACCAGCAACTTCAGAATTACACTTGCAGATTGTTGGAAGAATTGGAAACTTAGTTTTTTTCTCTTGGTTTGGAACCTGATGCAGTGGCACCATTTTTGTTGCAATGCTGCGATCCATAGTCTCGACATGTGTTGGATCAGTAAGCCAACAACCAACCTCGAATCAAAACTCTCCTCAAGTCTAGGTTCTATGCACCTGCCGTATTGGCATCACTCCCCATCCATTTCAGGATTTTGGATGACTGCAGGGGCCAACCCAGATAGGGAAAAAACCTAAGTGAAACCACTAAGACGCTGCAACCTCAGGCGATGCCTCTTTGCCCTTTGCCTTCTTGTTCTTTCGCTTGGGGCCCATGCCGCTCTGGAGCCCTTTGGCAGCAGCCTGACGGTGGGCTATAAACTGGATGGAGCAAGGGTAGAAACATATCATATCTATAAGTCAAATCAAATCCAAACAGAACACATCAAATAATATCGCAATGATTCTTTGTCCATGGTAACCCCATATCATATTAGATGTTTGCCTGCGATGACCTCAAAATCATGTCATATTATTTGGTGCAGGATAGCCCAATATCATATCAAATGTTTGTCCAGGAAATCTGATATCATATCAAGCGTTTTTGCCAGGAACACCCCATATCATATCACATGTTTGTCCAGGATAACCCGGTAATATCAAGTGATTTTCCAGGATCACTCAGTGTCATCCCATATCAATTAGATTTCTTGTAGCCAGATAACCCACCAAAGAAAAACAGGTTCTAGCAATCAAGCTTTCCCCAAACCACTGGATGGTGATAATGGGGGCAGGCCTCGGCTTGCTCGTACCACTTCTGCTGGCCTTGGATGAACTTGATGATGTCCGTCCATTCCTTGTCACCCACATTGTCGGACCTTGAGTACTTGGTGATTTTGTCATAAGCGTTCTCCATTTTGGAACTAAAGTCCATCAGGCTGCGCACGAGTTCTCCTGAGTAGTTTAAGTGTTTGAGGGCTAAGGCATACTTGCGTGCCTCAGTTGCTGACTTCAGCACATCTGCGCTCAGTGCCTGTGCTTCCTCCTTGGGGGTCTTTGGAAGCATCACCTCGGTCTCTTTGCTGCCCTTCTCTTCCTTTTTGGCCTTTGCTTTTTTTGCCTTCGTTGCGGCTTCACTTGTCAAAGCCTCCACCACCGCCTTTTCACCTGCTTCGTTTGTCCTCCCAATCCTAGGCATGGCTCCAGGACCCAAGGGTGCCCCCTCCGATGTCAAGGCAAGAACCATTTCTTTGTTTGGCTCCCGGTCGTTGACTCTCACACTTGTTGCCTCGTCAACCCCAGTCTTCCTCGACACTTCACCTCCCTGGCCAACATAGTACCAATATTCCTTGGCACGGGTCAGCCAAGAAGGGTTGAATGAGAATGAGAAAGGAAGGATATCAACATATCAGCAATATTTTTTGGGAAGGGTTTACATTGCAAACGGTTTCAAGATGTCTCTAAGTTCATTTGGAAAAGATTAATAAAACAGCAAAGTTGTTGGATCGGTTTGGAATCCTAGAGTCATCCTCGTCCTTTGGGAAATCTTCATCTTCCTCATACATGTTGCGCTCCTTCAGCTTGGCAATCAGCGCTTCGCCTTTCCTTACAGATGGGGCAGATCCCAAAGAAACAAACACTCAGCGATAGGACATGTCCTAGTAAAAGAATGCAAATAACACCCAGAAGGTAATGAATCATCACCCCTAGAAACTGCTGCCCATATTGTTTGATGATATCACGAGGTTTCATTCCCTTTCTGGATTTCTTGAACTGTCTCTTGTCGGTCACTCGTCGCTCATAGTTCAATTCCACCTTGGACCAATCTTCGGCGCAATTGATCCACTCCTGAAACAAGTCTGTTTTCGATTGAAGGTAGTATGTGGCAAGCGATGCAGGGAACTTGGCCTTGTCCATGCACTGTCTGCTGAACTTGCACCACTCTTTGTGATGTGTCTTACCTCAGATGACATCAGATGACAATGATAGCACGCATAATCTGTTGGAATAAGCTAGCTACAGGAATCAAATGGAGGAAGGCAGAATGGTTAGAGTCAATAGTCAATAGGACTATACTATCGCACCAAGCTTGAGGAACCCCAGGTAACTAATGCAGACCAAGACACTGTTGGCCTTCTGGATCTGGGCGGTGGACGCCTCAATCGCCTGGGAACCCGTGGCTAGGCTGGCAGCAACCTTGCCCTCCTCTGTGTTTGTCTCTGCCTCATCCTCCTCACTGGAACTCTCTTCTGAAGACGTGTCAGTTGAGGAATCACTATCTCTGTCTCCATCGCCCTCACCAGGGTTGTCACCTGCAGATGAATCTCCACCATCCGATCCTTCATCTTCCTCTTCTTCGTCGTCCTCCTCCTCTGCCTCACTAGGGGTCTCTTCCTTGTCTTCCCTGTCTTCCTCGTCTTCCTCGTCTTCCTCGTCTTCCTTGTCTTCCTTGTCTTCCTTGTCTTCCTTGTCTTCCTTCTTGTCCTTCTTGTCCTTCTCTGCTGTCGCTGCCACAATCTCGAGCATGTGCTGTTCAACAGCAGCTTCGGACACTTCTCTCATGTGGTCTGCAAGTGAGATACCTTTTGCTTTGGCTTCTTTCGTAGCTGCCTCGATGTCCGAAAGGTCGTCCTGCAGGAGGGCCGGTGTTCCTCCGCTCAGGCTGAACAAGTCACTGGACTGTGACTCCAAGCCTCTGTTCTTGCTCAGAGGTGTGGCCAGAACAAGTTCAGTACATTCAGAAGGTCCCGAGTCCTTCTTGTCCTTCTTTTCCTTTTTTTCCTTCTTGTCCTTCTTGTCCTTCGCCTTGTCCTGCTTCTCAACTTTCGCCTTCTGACTTGCATCTGCCTTGCCTGTGTCTGGTCTTGTAGACTTTGCACCACCCTTGTCCTCAGATTTCTGCTTCTTCTCCTTGGGCTTCTCAGCTCTGGTACTTGTCGGGCTCTTGCCGTCCTTTTTGTTTTTCTCCTCTCGCTTTGGCTTCTTCTCCATCTCATCCTCTGCAAACTTGATCTTCCTCTTGGAAGCCGTGGTATCCTTCTTTCTTTCTTCCTTCTCCTTCTTGTCCTTTCTCTTTGGTGCCTTCGAACTCTTGGGATCTTTGCTGCCTTTCCCCTTCTTTGGCTCCTTCTCTGGCTTCTTCTTCAAGATCCCCTTCTGCACTTTCTCAGGCTTGGTTTTACCTCTGACCCTGGCTGCTGGTGCAGCCACGGCTTTTGTTTTGGCCATGGTCACTCAGGTATTTTTTTCTCACCTTTTCAGCCAAAATAGCTTCAATAAGGCATATTCACTTGTGAACCATGCATGGAATGGAAATAGATCCTCCCGGTGATAGCTGAAATGTAAAGTAAGGTTTACAGCGCTGAAGATTGATTTGGGAAATGGTCTGAATCTATGTTTTTAATTTGATCTCCAGGTCTCGGCTGTTCTCTCCAAGTCTCGGCTGAGTTCTCTCCAGGTCTCGGCTGAATTTGGATCTGTTTTGGAAAAAAACTAAAAAAAAGGAAAAAATGCGCCAGATATAGCAGTCCCAAAATTTACAATTTGTAAATTGATCTCTCAGCCAAAACCTGGCGAGACCTCCCAAAAGTCAAAAAACACTCTCCCCAGTTCCCAGTGGCTGCATGGCTGAGGTGGGAAGGCACCTTTCGCTTCCTTCCCGAAAGCTCTTTGAAGGACAAGCCTGTGGCAGCCGGTCTGGGGGTTCAAGACATGAAAGCTAGGGCTGCAAAGGTCCCAGAGTCATGCATTCAATGGGAAATGCTTGGATAGACAATTGACGACCTTTTGGTACTTTTCTTAGATAGGAACCCCATTATGACAGCCAAATGTTTCTAAATGCTGGAATGGTGGTTCCAGATCCAACTTGTGTAAAATGCGATCATGTGATAGCAAACCTTTTGGCAGTTCGCTCTTCGCAAGCTGGCATACCCCAAAGTCCAGAGAAAGACGTGTGCATCACTGACGCCAAAAGTAATTAAGTCAAATTTTGAATGCTATGTACTCATGCCCCACACACGGTGAAGCTTTCAAGCACAGGTCCAAGGTCGGCCCATCGGATCCATTTCATGCTGGTTTTAAAGTCACCAGGGGCCCCGGTTAAATGCTCTTTGATGTTCTTCTTGATTGTCTTTCGAGCATCCTTTGCAATCCGGTCACGGTACTGGGTTCTCAAACGGGCCAAGCTGCGGCCAAACCTGAGGAGCAATCAGCAGTGCACTGCAATGATGGCTGGAAGACCCAGAGGACATGTGAAGCCAATTTCAACAAGTGACCCTGTAACCTTTTTTGGGTGGCTAAAAAAAGGCTCCAGGTCACTTTTGTGCGATGATATTTGCATATTTGTAGATGGGGGTATGTAACCATCTATTTTCATACTGCCAAAGACAAAGTCTACATATACAAATACAGGTTTATTTAGATCAATATGGGTTAAGTATATGTGTATGTATGTGTATGCATGTGTATATGTGAATGTTTTTTACATATGTATATTATATGTATATGCATATGTACATTGATGAATGTGTACATCTATATTATATGTATACATATGTAAATGTTTACATACATGTATATGTATACATAAATGTATATGTATGCATATGTGCATTTTGTATCTGCATGTGTCTGTGAATGTTTTTGTAAATGTATTTGTACATCAATATGACATATACAACGATAAGTTTATACAAATGTATGTATATTTGTGCCTGTAAGTGTACATGTATCTCTCTGGGGTATATATGTGTATGTATGTATGTATGTATGTATGTATGTATGTATGTATGTATGTATGTATGTATGTGTGTGTGTGTCTCGAGCTCATTGCTGATTTAAACCCGACTGGCCCCAAACAATTATCTATAATTTGCTGGACAATATAACTACCATCAACTAGACAATGCTTTGGTCCCCCAAACAGAACAAGGAGCCACCTGGGGTAGGCTTGCGATCCTTTAAGGTCTTTCCCACCTTTAATTCGGGCACGCCCTTGCCCGTCAAGGTAATGGCAGACCATCTCCTTGGGATCCTCATGCTTTGGCAGCTGGCTTGGGTGTGGCTTGTGCAGCGCCAGGTCCTCAATCTCCTTCCTTCCTTATTGGCCGGACATGGACGGCAACCCCCATTATATATATTATATGAAATTTCTTGCCATGCAAATCATAAATCATACCTGAAAGGGATCGGATCAAAACCAAATTTTCAGAAAGGGGATCCCTCTTTTGGGTTGGCCTTGGAGGTATTCATGTATGTATATGTAAATATTTTCCTGGTTTGTTCTAAATGTACATGGATTCTGTATATGGACAGCCTTTAGCCCAAATTGCACCACCAAGCACAGATGTTAGAACCGATGCATCCAAGCACAGTTGTTTTTTGGGATAGTCAGGTGTTTCTTGAAAATTGAAGGGTGGCATCTACAGTAAAATTAAAACGCCATGTGAAACTATGGTATCCTTTCCTGATCTAATGGAATCCCCAAACTATTAAAATCAATACGTGTGCCTCAACAAAATATGGCACCTCTTTTTTGGTGGCATACAAATTGAAACAAGCAAAACTTGCAACTGTTCCAAACAATCATGGGTTCCAGAGTAAAGCCATGTTGGCTTCTGCGTAGCACCTCCATAATGCTCCATGCACATATAATGGCGGTACGTCCTGACTTGTTTCATGAACATCTGAAATGACGGAAGTTCCTGCATCAGGCTTCCTTTCGGTTGCTCTAAAAGCCACCACACCTGCAACGCCGCACATACATATAACAGTATGAGCGTTCTATTGGCAATCAAATTGCCCATCCTCACACTGCTGTACGCCATGTGGCCCCATGGCCTCAGGTGCGATCTGTGTGTCGTTCCTCTGCTCCTTGGCGCCGGCTCGGCTGTGGCTGGGATGTCTTGGGATTTTTGAGGGTTTTCCAAAACCTAGGTGAGAAAACACTTTTTATTTGGAACAGAGGTGTGTTTATTAGTTATGATCGGCAAGGTTCACAAAAACAAATGAAGAGCAGACTGGAGCGGCGAGGAAGCCAGCACCTCTTTTGGGATCCAGCTTGCAAACTTGGTAAAGATGTTGAAGGAACCCAGTGGTAGATGCAATGTCGAGCTCGTTAGAGACAGAGATGTCCATCCCCACTGCACGTCGCTTTTCCTATTTGGATCCAGATAACAACCCATGATATGAAACTATGATAATGAACCTCGGAAACAAATTATCACAGAATGGGAGTTGCTATATAATACATATATATATATGCATTCATTGGTTTCCCAAGAAATCATATCCGCCAAATAGGATGCTGGCTTTAGTTCTGATCCCATGCCCCCAACTGTTTTCCCTTATAAGGTGAAGGTGAAGTTTTTTTTAAAGATACCAAATTGAACAAGTTGTGGGATACTACTGTCCTCCATCTCACCAATTGTCACACTGTGCTCACCGGCGAAAGCCTCCACATGATCCAAAGAAACATTTGGACCAAAGGGAAGATCCTTCTGGGCGAAAAGGAGCGTCACAAGCACCCCAATTACCTTGCAAGGGCCGACATTTGTATATGGGAATGTCTCAATTCAGATCTGTAAATTGTATCATATCGCTTTTATATACATATACAATGGCTTTATCAAGATAAATGAAATGTGGGTGTTGCTAACCCTATCCATTTTGAATGAATAGCTCCATCAAACGTTCACCAGTTTGGGGGCAAGAACTCCACCATAGAAGCTAGGAAACAGCAGGTGCTTTGAGGGCTCGAAGTCCTGCTAAGATGGTTGTCTCCTGCCGACCCCTGAAACTTTTCCCAGGCTTCTTTCCCTCGAAGCTGGCCATGTGAGCTGCGCTGGCACGGAAGGCAGCTCGCTTTGAAAGATTCCGCCCTTTCCCCATTGGATAACACTGGTAACTTGGGACCTGTGCCCAAACTTTGATCAGAAAAAGCTATTGTTGATTTGCTGATTCTTTGCCATTGTGTCCTGACTTAAGTATTGTAGTTGACATGTCCAAAGATTTGTCCTAGCATTTGCAACATTCTATAAACTGGCAACATTTGGTTGAACCACCACCACTGCTGGCCAAGCGCTGCCTTGGCATCTTTCTCTTGTGTCTTTATTTCTGACCTGGCCGAGGAAAGGTTGCCAATTGGAAAGAGACGCAGGACCCCGACAGCCAAAAGGGATGGCCAGGTGGATCAAAACTCTTGGGGCTGAAAATCATTTTAAGGATGCAAAAAGTTTTGCAAATTAAAAAGAAAGAGAATTGGGATTGATCGGCACAAGACTTGATATGAGTAAACCCCTGATGAGAATGCATCCCCTCATTCCATGTGAATCGCCCCCATCAAATCCAGAGAGTTGGGATCAACTTCCACCAGTAGCACGCTTTTGGGGTTCATCATCATTCATAGGGGAGCCATTCCACAATAAAGGTGTATTGGGAGTTGGGATTCGTGTGACGCTTTGAAACTTTGAAGCTCTTGTTGGCTATTCCGGTGCGCTGGAAACCCTGTTTCTATGATTCGGTGGGTCAATAAGTTGAAACACAACCGTATACATTATTATACAAGATGTATATGAACATGGGACTCTGTCAGTTCCCACAAATGGCCAAACTCTTTTTTCTCAGCATCGCATGTTGCCCCTCCAGGCACGTTCAACCCTTCAGACCATATTTCTAGGTTTGCTACAGAGTTTCACCCCTTGAGAACTCACAAACAGATACAGCAGCAAGGGTTGGTGTGCTTTCGTAGGCTTCGAATGCACCTTCCCCAAACAAACATCCTACTCCGAAACTATGAGACATTTCCATCGGTGTTTTCACCGTGTGTCAAAACTCAACATGTTCAAAGCCGTTACTGATCATCACGCACCGCCAGCACGGGCTTGCTCAAGTGCGGTGACCCATGCGTTTCCCGGCCCACCGTTTTTCTTCCAACTTACCTGACCCTTCTTTCCCTCGCCAGGGCATTTTTTGATAAAATATGCCTTCTGACGAAGAAGGACATCAATCAAAACCTGCTCAAGTTCCCCATCGGCATTGGGCACGTCCACCGAAACGGTGTAGCTGTGATTTCCCCGGTTCACTCGATCTTGCTGTGGTCGTGCTTTCACTGGGATGCCATCGAGGGAATACTCACCATAGGTCTGCGGGAATGGTTTGCATGGCTGTGGGATAAATGCCCCATCATGCTTCCATGTGTACATGAATGAAATCTTAATTAAACTATGTAG